CCCCCGTGCTCAAAGCACTTAGAAACGCTGGATAAAAAAGTTCCATGCCCCAGTTCCTTCACCTGTAAAATGAGGATGTTATTAGTATCACCTCTGTCATCAAGTTGTTGTGAGGATTAAATGAGTCAAAACCAGTAAAGTGCTGACAATGGTGCTTGGTATTTAATAAACACAAGCCCTTGGAGTAAAAAATAGAGAGGAGTTTTGAAGACAGAGTGCTGGCAGGTTCTGATACTTTTCTGGCTGAGCTGATGTGACAGTCTGGGTAACCAGGGGCGTCAGGTGTAAAGGCCAAGAGGGATCAGAAACCCAGCTCTGGGCCTGCTTGAGGTAGGAAGCTGAAGCTGAGAACCCTACAGAAAGCTGGGATTTATTTTGAAGGACTACCTTTAGTGAGAGAACTAGGGATAAAACCCACTTTTTGGTAATTAGAGAGCTGTTCTGTCTCTGCCTGGGCACTGGCTTAAAAAATAAACAAAATCTCCCTAAAGACTCTAAATCAGGCCTGCCCTTACTTAGGTCTGGGATCTGAATATTCACTTCCCTTAAAGTCCAAGGGAAACTGGAACTAAGGCTGAGAAATTAACTAAAAACATGTTTCTCAGCTGGTCACGTTCAGGCAGCTGCTCAAAGCAAACACAAGCCCTCTGGAGGACATACACCCTCAACCCAGGGTCAGCAGGTAAGGCTCCAAGCGAGGGGGCAGGGCCTAAAATTACATAAAGTCCACCTGGAACAATCCACTGTTAGCAAGAGTCAACATGGACAGCAGACTTGGACCCCTCCTCAGCCAGGAAGTACATGACTATATAGAAAGAATGAAGAGATCACAAACCTCCGTGCCCAGCACAGCAGCCTGACACACCACCAGCCCCAGATAAACACTGGCTTCTTTCCTTCCCAGCTTGCCTTGGGCTTTCCTTCTTCCCACCTTTGCCCAGGCCTCTGTGCCAGCCAGCTTTGCCCTCCATCCCACACTCTCCCAGGCCTTACAAATCCTGCTCCTCTTCAATTAGGATCAGTTTTTAAAAGTCATTCTCCAAGACTTGAGAGCCTCTCCCCTGGAGAAGAGTGGGATTCAGAGAGGCCTGGCTGGATGGTCTACTGGCCAGAGGGAAAGGTATGGTCAGACAGAGGCTCCTGGGAGCCCCAGATGGGTATGAGGCTTTCACAAAGAGAAAGAACAACTTGGGGAAACACGGGGTGGATGGAGAGGAGAGGGAGTCTGATGCAGAGTTCCTGACTCTTTGAAAACTCATTCAAAAAGTATAGAAGATGATGCTGAAGAAGGGCAAGAGGCTGGCGGAAAATGTATCTTCATTCAAGCATACAATGAAATGTTACGCATCACTGTGAACAGCTGCGTAAGTGACATCATATAGCTATAACAAAATTCACTAAAGCAATTTTCTGGTCCAGGTTTTTTAGGTTGCTTCACACTGTTTGCTATTTTACATGAAAACCATATTGAGTTACTTGATCGATCTATCTTCACCTCAAGCTTGGGGGCAGACTAAGGACCAGGTGGAAAGGAACCCACTTCTCAGGGGATGAAGGGGCTTGGAGTGGGGCGCCAAGGGCTGGGAACCAAAGCTCAGGTTGTGGGAGCAGCAAGCCTGTCTCCAGAGTGCACCCAAGAGCACCCAGGGGAGTGCATGTGATGCTTACCTGCGTCACCACCCAAGTAAGCTGAGACAAGTAACTGAGCTCTTCCAGCCCAGTCTCTCAGGGATCTCCCACTCTGCAGCCAGATACCTGCGGCTCTGGAGCAGCCATCCATCATGCCTGCATCCCTGGGGCCTGTACACAGGGAGGCAGGGAGGGGAGCCCAGGGAGGCCCACTGCACACCCAGGGGCAGGGGCTTAGAGGAGGAGCTATCCCCGTAAGTCTCATCTGTTGCTGGCAAGTGGGCTTCTGTAGTGGCAGGTGGTCCTTCCCTGAAATCTACTCTTCTCTGCTTATAAGAGTAACATGTTCATCACAGAACACTCAGAAAAGGCAGAATAGTAGATGCTGGTTTATTTCCTTCCAGTTTTTTCCATGTGTAGACCTGCTTAACATAACTGGCATCTTACTGTCTATATAGTTTGAAATTCTTGTTTTTTTCACTTCACATTATATATGAGAATTTGCCAGCCAGTCTTCATTCGAGCATATAAGGAAATGTTATGCATTACTGTGAACAGCTACATTCCTTGCATTATATAGCTATAACAAAATTCATTAAAGCAATTTTCTGGTCCAAGTTTTTTAGCTTCAGATGGTTTACTATTTTACATGAAAACCATACTGAGTTACTTGATCTATCTTTCAAGATCCACTTCAGTTCCCAATTCCTCCAGAAAGCCTTCCTGGATTAGTTCAACAGCCAACAACATCTCCCACCTCTGATTTATGACCACCTATGGTCCATCTGACAGCCTAGCATGGAGCCCTAGTCATCACTGGTCTTTATTTCACATGGGTGGGCTAGTCTCCAGTCCAGAACTCTACTGCACATACCCTTAGGAGTCCCCCAACACCGTGCAGCACACACCGTGCTGACTGCTTAGACCCCAGATCCCTCAGTTTGCGTGAGCTTGATAAGCTCCACTTGACAAAGGGCCAGAGTGATGGGGTAGGTCCTCCTCTAAGCCTGGTCTGGCACTTTGCTTCCTCGCTGGGCATGAAGAGGTTAAAAGGCCCCCTACAGGTCAGCCCTAACTTTAAAGTTCACGCTTTTACCTCTAAACTTTCACCTCCATGTGAGCTGTGGTCAAGACCACCAGGGTTAAAGTGCTTAACTCCTCTCAAAAGTTGACTAGAGCTTTGCTGTGCTCACAACCTTGGTAATCAGAAACCAGCTGCTTCCTACCCCAGGAAAGCGTGGTTGGGGAAAGGGCCCAGGCTCTGGTGCCAGACAGTCAGCGTTCCAGCAGGGAGGTGGCAGGCAGAGCAGAGGAGCGGGTCCCAGCACGCCCTACCCTAGGCACACTTCACCCAGGCGGACGGCCACTCTTCAGTTCAGACATCCCCACCTGGCCTGCAAAGCCAACTGAGTCGCACTCTCTGCTCCCCGACATGGAAGCCTAGACTCAACATGGCCTTCCTGGCTCTCCACCTGCGGGTGGCATCCTTCATCACCTCCCCACACCACAGCAGCACCTCTGCAGCAGCCTCTCCTGACTGCGGACAGGTCCACCTCTGCTGGTGATACCCCTCCTCACTAAGCACCTCCCCCGGAAGGTCAGAACTCCGCTTTGCCATCGGCTGCCCCTGCCCCCCTGCCCTCTTCACACGTCTCACTTAGACTGAGCTGCATATGCCACTGAGACATTTTAAGGTAGAAACAGGTTATAGCCTGCAGAGATTTGTTGATTTGCATTCAACTTCCCACTTGAAAGCAATGTGAAGACAGGCGGCTGGCTGACAGCTGGAGAAGATGTGTGCATGGTGGGGGAGGGAGGGACTTAGGCCCCACCTCCAGCCCTGGGAGATGAGAAAACATAAAAAATAATAGCTGTCTTTTCTCCTTCAGCCCTAATCAAGTAGTTTGCAACCTAGGCACCTAATTGCAGATCCAGCCATAAACAACATAGTAAAAGGCAGGAAGGAAAAACAAAAAATAATAATAGCTGTCATTTATTCAGCTATCTACATGCCAAGCACCTTACAGACATTATAATTATTACTAACTATCTTGATGACAGGCACAGTTACCATCCCCATTTCATAGATGATGAAACCAAGGTTCAGAGAGGTTAAGCAACCTGCTAAGGTAGCAGGCTAGTAAGTGGCAGAGTGGGGATTCAAATCCAGGCCATATTAGTGTGGACAGCCTTGAACGCTAGGGTAAGTACAACTATATCAGTGACCACCACAGGATTCCAAGATTCCTCACTGAGGGCCCATGACCATCAGCTTCTGGCTGAAGGCTCCCCCCAGAGACTTCCCTCCCAAACTAGTGACAACCTTCAAGTTTGTTTGCTGACAGAAGAGATGCTGCTCTCACTTTAGCTCAGTTCAGCAAATACCTCTAAGTGCTTACAAAGTGCCTGACACTGCTCTGGCTCTTGCAGGGATAGGGGGCCAAGGATCACAGGTTCCCTGCCTTCTAGGGACACTCAGTGTTTTTCAAACCTCTGTGTGACTCAGAGTAAGAAATATGTCTTACCGTGGGACCCAGTATATACAAACTAAATGGATACTAGAGGAGAAAGGGAACAAAGGCTGGATGGGAGAGGGCTGAGGGCTTCCTGGAAGAGGTGGCAAACAAGCTTATCTTGAAGGCCGAGTGTCCTCTACTTTCTGGGCTACTATCCCTTGCCCCAGGAGCCTCAGATACACCTGACCAATGACTGCTTGCAGAAATGCTCTACCTGTCCAGTCTCTGGGTCTTTGCTCAGGCAGTAACCTCCACAGAAATGTTCCTTTGTGAGACAGACAGACACAGACACACACAGGCACATCATGCCCACCGCCTGTGAGTTCCTCTCCATATGCCAAAGACCAGGCTTAAACAGTAGAATGAAAAGGGACCCACTGGCTGGATATCCTTGGAAAAACCCACTTTGCCTTCAACCCTCCATTTCCTCCTCATCTGTAGACCAGTCATGCCTGGTGATATCATCTGCCAGTGAGGTTGTGAAGATTCAGTAATTCACACTCTTGAGGCACCTGTACAGGTCCTGGGGCACAGGGCTACTCAGCACCTGGTCCAAGGACACAAACATACCCAGAGTCATCAGCAGTCCCAGGGCTGGCAGACAGGCTCCCAGCAGATGTAACCGCCACTCAGTGTTTTTCAAACCTCTGTGTAATTCAGAGCAGGAACTATGTCTTACACTGGGACCCGGAATACACAAACTAAACACAGCTGCAATGGAAGTTCCATGTAACGCTTCTCATGATGAAGGGCACAGTCTAATATGGTCTCTTTTATCTTTCCTTACTATTACATTTCTAAACATATTTCACAAACCACTTACAGGGCAGTTAGAAAAGCCCTGCCCTCACTCACCCAGCGTGTCAGAGCCACTCTCCACTGTCTCATTGACCTTCCTTGCAACTCTGGCCACAGCCTCACCCATCTTCTTCAGCATGCAGACGTGGGTGTCCTGTTGCCAGCCACGGGGCTGGTCTGCTGCTCACAGGGGAGCCTGAACCTGGGGAAGACACAAAACCATGAAGCACCCGCCCACCAGCCTGGGCCACACCCCTGAATCCACCCTCCTGGGGACCCAGGCTGCAGGAAGGCTGCAGGGAGGGCCTAGGCCACTCACCTCCTCCTGAGTGGCCCAGAGCCCAGGCCACAACCAGCTCAGCCTTCGGAGCAGCTGATCTGCCCATCAGAGGGTGGAGGCAGCCCAGCTCTCCTGGTTTACCAGGACGATTGACATGCGTGACCTCACCAGACATGGGGCCGGGGCCTAACTCAGGTGTGCACTGGCCTATGACTCACTTAACAGGTGGAGCAGTGGGGAGGAGGTGGGGCATAGCCAACTGCAGGGGGGGCACTTGTCACTCCATCCCACAGTCTCTGGTTGGCACCCTGTTCATCTTACCCACCTTTGCCATCTCATCCTCCTGCATGCCCAGAAGGGGGGACACAAAGATAAGTGAAACACAGCCCTGCCAGGTCAGAGCTCACAGTCTGGCTAGTAGATAGTCTCTAAGAATTCCCTTCTGTATCAACATGGATGGGAAGTGGAGTTTTAGCCTGCAGACCTGATTATCAGCCAGATGCTTAGTTTATCTGCAAGACCGGGAGAGAAAAGTGGAGTCGGGGAGGGAAATGAGAGGAGGGAAATTGGATCACTGGGGGAGAAGAGGCTTATGGAAGGGTGAGGAATACCAACAAAATTATGAGGTGTTAAAGACATAAAGGACTCTAGAAACATCTCCAACTCCTGTTTATTACAGAGCAGGAAACTGAGGCACAGAGAGGAACTAAATGACCTGACCAAGGACAAAGCGAGTAAATAGCAGTAATCCGGCCCGCCCAGCTCCACATCCACTGCTCACTACAGAGGTCACCCGCACCACCGGCGACAGCCAACTTGAGGCCGCGGTCAGGCCCTTCCTCCTCCCTGGATCCCAATCCCAGATGCACAGACAGCTCAAGCTCTGATGAACACACTTTGAGGGTCAAAGGCAGAATAATGGGAAGGCCAGAGAGAAGGGGGTGACAGTAGTGCTCAGAGCTGCTAACAGACATCAAGAAAAAGCCCACCTACACTCACTGGACACAAGGGTCAGGCAAGGCAGAGCTGGAGCTGGCCAAGCCCACCCAGCTGCTTAGGAACAGGCAGTGGTGAATTCGGTATGTGTGTGTATTCCACTAAGCAACCTGACCCTGAAGGTTTGAGACACACTGTGCAGAGGGAAGACTGTTTTTTGAAGATAGGCCTATTGCCCAACTCAGCCATTTATTAGCTAAGAAGCCTTGAGAAACATTCTACTACTCTGAGTCACAGTTTGTTCATCAGAGTAGGAGATCTGATAACGCTTGTCTGGCTGAGTTCATTCGAGGATTGAACAAAATATCTACACCTTTCTAGGCCAGGGCCCAGGACACGTAGGTACTCAACAAACGCTAGTCAAGGAGATAAAACAGTGCATGTGCAGACATGATGCTGGCATCTAATCCCAGTTTAGTACCCATGTGACTTTGAGTCAGTGGAACTCATCTTTGAAGAATGAGCAGGATTTCCATCTCTCCACCTCCAGGAAGTCTTCCTTCATTGCCCCAGCCCTCGGTGTTCTCTGCTCCCTGCGAATCTTAGCAGCACGTAATGCCTTAGCACAAGTCCCTTGGGTTGTTTATGAGCTTTCTTTTAATACACATTATTTGTCTCCCCAATTGGCCTACGGGCAGCTTGGGGCAGGAAGCACGTCTATACTCTTGATTTTCCCTGCACTTTATACCACACTGAACACAGATGCTTAGTTAGTATCTCCCAATGGTTAGGATGAGGATCATTTGGGTTTCAAACCTAAATATAGGTCAATTGACTCTTACAGAAAATCTCTAAGATTACTGTCTAAATGAGAAGGGTCATAAATTCAAATGCCTAATGATGCCAGGCAGGCAACTTGCATAAGGTGGGCCAGGGTAGGACAGTCTGGGCTGGACAGTGAGGACCATGACAAACTGGACCCAACAGCTTCACCACATGGCTCAGAAGACCCAAGTCCCAGCAATGTTGCTGGAATCTTCGTGACTTAGTCTAACCCCTTATGAATGGGAAAACTGAGGACCCAAGAGGGGAAGTAAATCAGCCAGATGGAAACAAAAAACTGAGGTTTCCTAACTCCCAGCCTAGAATTCTTCCTACCATACTCCCTCCCTTCCCTATTTCCAATATTTATCATAAAAAATCACAAACATACATTGAGCAGTTATTAGATACAGGGCATAAGAATGAAGAAAGGAAAATAGGAAATAGCTTTGACTTGAATTCGGATGAGAGAGAGCTTTCTAGGGAACATCACTGAGGCAATCGTGGCCTCACAGCAGAGGAGAAAGGGAAGGTAAATCTCCAAATGACCCAAGCAGGGTCTGTGCTAACAGTGGGTGGGTGATGACTTTCAATCAGGCACCATGCCTGCAATTCTGCTAGCTGTCACCAGGTGGGGGCAGTGGTGCCTTCTGCCATTGAGCCCACTGATGAAAAGTAGTCAAACTGAAACCTCACCCCCTGGTAGCAAGCTCAAACAGCCTACAGCATGGGTCACAGAATGGACATCAAAGCAGGGAAAAGAACAACCTGTAAAGTCTGTGTGTCAGAGCAAGTCACTAGAAGGAGGGGCCTCTTACATTCCTGAGAATGCTCTGGGTACAACACAGATGTGCCCTAGACCCCCCCAAGAGGCTCCTGCTAAGTGTCTTGGAAACCACGTCCCCCTTCACCTAATACTTCCCCTCCCCTCTACAAGGAAGGATTCCTTCACAAAGTGCAGCTGACAGTGTCTCTCCCAGGTCAGATGACAAAGGCCTGTCACTCTTTGGCACAGGCAAGGCTGTGAGATGGGAGGGTGGCAGAGCCACATGTGGTATAAGGCCCAAGGTGAGGTAATCAGACCCCAGAACTGAGGGAAGGACAAACTTGGGATGACAGGAGTCTGGAGTGGATCTCTAAAAGGGTGCTTACAAACCTGTCTGACTTCACTGATTGCAACTCTCAGCCTCAACCCAACACTGGGCCTCTTTGACAATACAATAGCAAAAATTTATTTAGCATATAACAGGGGCTCAGACAGAAAGGAGGTAGGGGGAGAGAAGAAAAAAATTAAGCTGCCCTTCTTTTCTCCCCCCCCCACCCTGCCCTTTTCTTTTGTTTTAAACTGTTTTTGAGAAAAAGAGAACACTGTCCAACTCACACATAAGTGACAGAGGATGCAAAGGCTGTCCCTAGGCTGTGAGGGGCCCCCGTCTATATAAACAATTTCAGTCAACCAAAGTTGGTGTGTCAACACCATCCTGGCTGCCCAACCTTGCGCAATCCCATGAAAGAAACAGCACACTGGCCGGTGGGAGCAATCAACATGCAAGGCAGCCCTCTCAGAACCAGATTAACCCCAGATAACCCCAGAGGCTCAAGTTTTGTGCTCCTTGAAGCATCTGGTCAACCCCCCAGGCAGGGGTGGGAGTAAAAGAAAGCCAGAGAGTGTCCCAAAGGGACTGCAGGGGGAACCTTAGAAAATTTCAAGGTAAGAGCTCCAAATCCTTGAGCCCCTTCCGCACAGGGTTCAAACCTGTGCTGTCTCAGCACCACATCCTTCTCCATACATCCCAATTTCCTTTTGCCAGAGTTGGCAACAGGATCCCAAGAACTGTTTAAATCTAACAAACATCCTCTAGAAGGTCTACACTGGGAGAATAAAGGTACAGAGACAGAACATGGCCAGATGAGCCTCCCACTGGATAAGAAAGACTCAGTGACAAGAGGAAGAATGAGCCAGATATTAGTAGGGCCTCCACGCCAGACCCAAGGAACATGTATTTTCTGCCATGTAGGCATATGACACAGCTGGGAAAAAGGAAGAGAGACAGGGTCTGAGCAGAGGTACCCAAAGAGATGAGAGGAGGGAGACAGAGAGCCAGTCCGTCCCCAGATTACTGGGGCAGGGGGCTTGAAGGCCCTCCCATAAGTCTGACCTCTGTTCTCCACAAGGAGCTATGGAGTGTTTTGAGGACAGCAACCTAATCCAACCAGTTTGGAAAGTGTCGTAATTAGCCCCATCTGTAAAATGGAAATTCCACCTTCCTCACTGGGTTGTTTTGAGAAGTAAATGATATATAACTTTTGAGACAGGTTCTTGCAAACTCTTAAGTGCTTCCTACAATAAGGCATTACCAATAGGTGATTAAACAGATACAGACATAAGTTGGGACATAATAAAGTGCATGCGAGAAAAAAAGTTGTCCTGCTTTGTGGGAGCTATTAATACCGGATTCCTGTATCTGTAACCCGATATTATCTGCTTACAGGGCTGCAGGAGGAACAGTTTTTGCTTAAACCCTGTCCATATCCCCCTGCCCTGGCTCCTGCCCTCACCAATGAGAACTCTACCTTATCTGGAGGTCTGAGATCTATCTGTGCAAGGGAGCTGCTGCAACACCCCGTCCACACCAGCTGTTCCTATATTTAGTTACTGGTGTGGTCACTTGGGAACTTTAGAGCTTGGCAGCTGTTCCTTAGGGCAACTCGAGCCTTCTGAGCCATGTGTGCAAGCTCCCCCACGGCTGGCTCCAGCGGGTCCTCTGGGCCACGCAAGCGGGGGAGCACGTGGGGAGGTGAGAGGCTACAGGCTGGATCAGACCCAAGTAGCACCGAAAGCCCTGAAAAGAGTTGACCCACTTTTCCACCCAAAGGAAAGAAGCCCACAGGGACCGGCTGGCGCCTTGTTCTTGAGCCTTGGGGTTTGCAGCGCCCCACGCACCCTCCGCTACAGGCATCTAGGCATCTCAGGGTTGCGCCTCCCAGGACTGAGAGCCGTGGCCCGGCCAGGGTCCCTGCGCCTAGCCTCACCCATCTAACCCACTCCCAGCACCCACAGTCAATGGCTCCTCGTCCTTTGCCTTCTGCTGGCCGGGAAGGCGGGGATTGGGTTGAATAAAGCCGGCAGAGGGGAAAACGCTGGTGATCTCAAAGGTCCAGGGACTTCCGCGCTTCCCAGAGGAGGAGACGTACGCTTCCGCAGCTCCTCAGAGCGGAAGCAAACCCAGAATGCGTTGCCTCAGGAAAGAAATAAACAAAACCTTTTCCTAGCTGGGGCGCCTCCCGCGGGGATGGAGTCCCTCCCGGGACCTCTTCCCGGGGATTCCTATTCTCTGGCACCACTGCGCCCACTCCCCGAACCCAGCCGGGATCGCCGCACTGTGCAAGCAAGAGCCGGCGCGGCGCCTGGCCCCTTCGCACAGCATAAGCGGCAGCTGATGCACCGCTGCTCTTTCCACCGGGTGACCTGGGGGAGGGGAGGGTACACTGCAGAAACCGGGACACTTCTCTCCCTCTCTCCCCTAGCCACTCCAGGGTTTAGCCTCAGAGTACATTTACTTTGCGGTGCACGAAGCGTGGGGTCCCATTCCGGGCCGCTTGCTGCTCCACTTACGGCTACAATGCCTCCTAGCGCCCTGCGCAGTGCAGTCACGCTCCCTCGGCCGCCGGCGGCGCCCCATGCAACCTCAGCGCGCTGGAGCCTGCAGAGAGGGTGCGCGCGGGGCTGGGCTCGGCGCGCACGGCCACTCGGCCAATTGCCGCCCCAGAATAGGCGCCCGGGCGGGAGCATATCCCGCGGGCAACCAATCAACGCGCGAGTCCCAGCGCCGCGCCAGGCCGCGGCGCGCACGGGAAGGTAGCCCGCGCGCTCTCGTGGGCATGGTGGCTCCGCTTTGTGAGGGCCTTCTGGAGGGAAAACGCTTGGGAAGGCGGGGGTGTGGACAGGAACGTACCACAGTTCCCGGGATCAATAGGGCTGAGGCTCCAGATTTATTTTTATAAAGGGAATGGAGATGAATTAGCAGATCAGGTGCACTTTGAAAAACGCCTAGATGGGAAATAGGAAACTTTTCATGTGACGGCTTCAGGTTGTCCCTACAGGTGTTTAGAGACAATAATTCTGACTATACAAAGTTACTTTATCTCTCTATATCCCAATGTTCTCTTCTATAAAATACGGATTAAAATATGTGAATACCTACTTCACAGGGTCATGGTGAGGATTAATAGCTGAAGTGTTTAGTGCAGTGCTCTGCATGACAGCTGAGGGAAAGAGCTGCTCCACAGGCCTTCATTTATGGAGCACTCACCATACACTTTACTCAGCTTTATGGAAAACAGGAAAGAGATGAAGCTCCAGACTTCATCCAGTGAGGATGGATAGTCAAATGCCCTACGTGGGAGTCCTGAAGATTTAATTCTGCCCCTGAGGACAGAGGCAGTCAGGTAAGGAACACACATTCCCCTGGGTCTTGATGGGTGTTATGGGTTGACTTGCATCTCCCCAAAAATGATATTTGTAGTCTTAACTCCCAGTATCTCATGCAGACCTTATTTGGAAATAGGGTCTGTCTTGCCAATGAGTTTCAGCCCCAGGCAAGTTCACTATGGATTCAATGTGACCAAAGTAATGACAGTAGAACGTTCTTTTTACCCAACTTTATTCCCACGGTGGCAGGTCAATCACTAAAATCCTGTCCACTCAGAACAAGTCTGCATGCAGCAAGCCGGGCTCTGCATCTGGGCCTCTCTGATTACACAGCCACCCTCTGGGACTCTGTCCTTGGTGCTGCTGCCACCACTCCAGCCTCTGCTCTGCTCTCCTGCAGCGTTGCAGCCCTGCCACCATGTCACTCAGAGCATGGGCTCTTTATATAGAGTCAATAATGACATATTGCCCACATGTGTGCAGTGAGCTAGCCAACCAGGGCCAGGTGAGAATCCTGGCCACAGGAACCTTCATTTTATCCACAGGGTCCATGCAAACAGAATTAATTAAGGCAAGGTCATGCTGGAGTAAAGGATGGCTGGTGGTCTTGTAACAACAGAAAAGAAACATACACACACAAGAAGAAGGCCAGGTGAAGGCAGAGGCAGAGACTGGAGTGATGAGTCTAGAAGCCAAGGAACTATAAGGATTGTGGGCAAGGACCAGAAGCTTGGAAGAGGCAAGAAATGGATTCTTGGGGCCTCCAAAAAGAAACCAACTCGATAGACACCTTGCTTTTGGACTTTGAGCTTCCAGAACTATAAGAGAATAAATTTCTCTTGTTTTAAGCCACCTAGTTTGTGGCAATTTGTTACAACAGCCCTAGGAAATGAATACAATGGGTAAGTCGGAATAAAGGGAAGATGATGAGAAACATCTCCAAAAAGAGTCTTTGAAACTGAATGCATAGGGTATGCAAGGTCCTGTGTCTTAGATTATATCAAGATGAACCAGACACAGACCCTGCCCTCAGGGAGTTACCATGGATGTGGACATCTGAGCAGCCATGTTTTCTGACACCATCCTGGGAAGACTGGGAACCTTTCCCTTACCTCACTATCACTCTGTTGCTCCCACATATATACAAGGTGCCAGATACAAATAACAAGTGGATCGAAGCCCATTCTGCCCAAGCCAACATCCTTATTATTCTGGACAAAGCAGACCTTGCTTCACAGTTTCACTCTGTTTCACTTAAAATTAACCGTATATTTCTAGCCAGTTTCTACAATTGGATATCTTCTTTCCCCTGTTAGGCCATATGTAGGCCTGAGATAGCCAGTACAGTCCTTCTGTATACACAGTAAGGGGTCTGTAAATACCACTGACTGATGGTCCCAGCCAGGGGTATCCCACATTCATGCCTCACCTTACTTAGTCCTCTCTCCCAAGAATTTCATCCTGGACCTCTCAACACACACAAGACTACTCCCCAGCTCAAATGCCACCTTTTCTGTTCCTTGTGTGTTTGCTTCTCCAGAGCACTTACTACACCATGCCCATTATTATGCCATCTCTGCACAAGTCTTTTCTCCCAAGGCTCTACCTTATTTCAAATAGATCAGAGCTTGGCACTTGGTAAATGCTCTATCAGTGGGTACTTTTTCCCCCTACATAAGAAAACACCCCAAAACTTAGAAGTGGCTTAAAACAGCAACTATTTCTTTAATGATTTTATGGGTCAGCATTTTAGATTGGGCTCAGCTGGGCAAGTATTCTAGTCTCAGCTGGACTCCCTCACGCATCTGGGATCAGTGACTAGGCAGCCAGAGGCTTCTGCTTCTGGGGGGGTGGCTAGCTGTGAACTGAGATAACTGGGCTACATGTCTTTCATCCACCAGTGGGCTAGCATAGTTGGGTTCATGTGGAGCCGCAGGGCTCCAAGCACAAGAGTGGAACTGTGCAAGGCCTCTCAAGGTCTAGGCTCAAAACTGACACTACATCACTTTCATAGTTTTATTAACTAAACCGAGTTGTAAGTGCAACAGAGGTTTAAGAGTAGGGAAGTAGACTCCATCTGATGGCAGGAACAGCAGTTACATTGCAAGGAATATGGATATGGGGATGGGTAGAAAACTGGGACTAGTTCAGCAATCTTCTGCAGTGCTCAATAAATATCCACACAATACAGCATAGAGTGGATGCTCAGTAAATATTTATGAACAGTGCTAAGATTTTCAATTGCAGTACTACAGATTTCATTCAACACAAACAATTAGCAAAATTTTGTCTTTCAGTCACAAGTTAGCCATTGTCACCTTCAGTTTCAGAATAAATGAGGGGATCAGGAAGATAGGGCTGTGCAAGGGGGAGCCCTGCTGAAGCTTCTCAGTGAAGAAGCTCAATTGGCCTCAAATAAGCCCCTCTAAAGAGATCCAGAGCATCTTTTGGAGGTCTGGGCCCCCTTTGGACCTAGTCCAAGCCTGGACACCTGAGATGGAAGCCATACAACCTTCACCTATAAATAGAGAGGGACTAGCTGTTTGCCAGGGCTTGGACACAGCCGCTGCTGGTGCTTGAAAGCTTCTCAAGCTGCCTGTCAGATAGGAAATCTCTTGTGCAATGACAAAATTGTTAACCTGGTTGTTTCTGGGAAGGTTTACCCCTCACTGAGCAAGATAAATTCTCACAGCACTTGTGTAAGGGATACTATTGAGTGAACAGAGCCAGCAGTCAACTCCTATGACAGAGCTCATCGTTTCTCATCAAAGAATTCTGAGAATCAATCTCAAGACTCATTGTGGGTTGACTTGTATCTCCCCAAAAAGAGATGTTGGAGTCCTAACTCCCAGTACCTCAGACTGTGACCTTATTTTGAGATAGGGTCATTATAGAGATAATTAAATTAAAATGATGTCAATAGGTGGGCCCTAATCCAATACGACTAGAGTCTTTATAAAAAGGAGAAATTAGGACACAGAAAAATGTACGTAAAGGGAAGACAGTGTAATGAGACACAGGGAGCAGATGCCCATCTACAAGCCAAGTTCTGAGGCCTGGAGCAGATTCTTCCCTCACAGCCCTCAGAAGGAACCATCCCAGCTGACACATTGATTTCAGACTTCTAGCCCCAGAACTGTGCGACAATTAATTTCTGTTGTTAAACCACCAGTTTATGGTACTTTGTTACAGTAGCCCCAACAAACTAATATAAGGTCTTAAATCTTTCCTTTTCCATTCTATTCTCATGTTTGTCCTTATCATACACCCCTTGAGGGAGAAGCACATTTGGGTAGAAACAAAATATGAAATCCCATTGACATGTGTGAGCCAGCCCCCATACGTCATCCTGTGCCTCCCAGAGCCCTCCACCTGGAGCCACACCTTTGCCTGGAGCTGAGTTAGCAACAGCCAGGAATGTTCTGTCACTCCAAATCACTGTCTTCCTAAGCAGAAGAGCAATTCATCCAGTCCCTCTTCCAGAAGTTTCAGCCTGGTGAGTAGTAATCACCATGATCAGCCTTCCAGCAATGCAGGATTTGTAAAGATGAACAAGAAGCAATCAGTATCCTTAAGATGCAAGCACCTTGCTATGGAAAATACAATTCATAGAAAAGGTGACTTTAATCAAGTGTTTCTTCATCTTTAGCCATTGCTGTACCACTTCCTGATATTTGCTATATCTGAGCCCCACCCAGTGGTGAGCATGAATAACTTAGTACTGACTCAGACAGCTCATTCTGCATGTCTTTTTCCAGCTCAGTGTTCAGCGGCATCATCTTGGTATTGGAAGTAGGCTTGGTGAGAGAATTTACACCATGGAAATAAGCACACACTATATACATCAGAACTTTTTTTCCTTAGCAGTACAATTTACTAGCACAGTACATTATTACTTACTTACTTTTTCCTTTAAATTGACTCAATTTTTAACCTAAAAATGTTTATTTTAAAAGGACATTTTATATCATTACTGTAAATTGAAATTAGTATCACTTGCCATAAATAGAAAGTAACCTTAAAAATAAATACACTAAGTCAATTAAATCTCTATGAAACTGGGAAAAAAATGTAAAGAAAACAAAACTATGTTATTAAATTCTAGCAAAGTATTGTTGACTTCCTGAGGGCTGTTCTCTTTGTTATAAAAGCAGACTAACAAGGGTTAGGGAGATGGTAAAGACACCAGTGGCTTGGTCAATCCAAAATGATGGAAAGAGACTGAAAGAGGAATAATTCTCTCACATCAGTGCTCCTGGACCTCCAAGAATATAGCTCCTACCTT